GCGCTAAGCCCGAAACTCTACCTGGTTGCTCTGTTCCGAACAGAAGTCTCCCCTGTGCTTGCTCTTCCGATTGCTTGCAAGACCGCAGGGTACCTGAACCCTACACCCAAAATCCCTAAACCCAAACCCGAACCCTAAACCCATACACACTAGACCCGAAGGCCGGATGGGTGTATCGCAGCGTCTCAGCAAGGATCTTCTACCGGTCCGAATGGGGGGTTCAGAGCCTCTCCCGAAGCCCCCCCAAAAAGGAAATGTCTACGGCGCCAAGTCGCGAGGACGTTGGGTTCCTTACAACGCTCGTGCGATGCTACGAGCCTGGTGGATGAGATCGGGGTCGTTGCCGCCCATCTCGATTTCAAACCTCTAGCTTGCGATTTCAGCCTGGTGTATCTCGTTGAGGGTGCTTATGGCGCGTACAGGGCTTCAGGAAGCTTTCAAAGCTGGTAACAGTATTGATTGAGATCGCACTGGACAAAGAGGACGGGGGGGGTCGGAAGATGCCTCCAACTCTGTCGTAGGCGGCTCAACGCCTGATCCTCAGAACCTTCTATCGGGACCTAGATGATTACCAACACTATTTTGGGTTCCTTCTCATAAATACAGTATAATGGGCCCCAAAACCCGATTCTAATTATTTTGGCCCCTATATTAACTGTGCAAGTTTCTCACCGGCTCATCTTCATGCCTGTTCTCTTCGGTTCCAGAGCTCGGCTAGGGCTTGGCGATAGAAGGGTGTTCTACGGCTACGGGCCGTCTGGGTGCTATAGGTTATAGTAAATCCTTATGATCCGTGGCCCTTATAAGCCCCTTTAAAGGAACCCTCAAAGGAACCCCGATAGATCCTGAGGCCCCTATATTATACTATACTATATAACTATAATAACTATCATAAGGAACCCAATCAATAGTATGGGTAATTAGATTCTTCAGGCCCCTATAGTATCAGCTTTGAGATCTATAAGGAAAGTAGCAAAAGGCGCGCTGAGATCGACACGTGCTCTGCTCACCCTCCGCGGGCCTCAGTTTTTTTGCATTATGCGACTACAGGTTTAGGGTTTAGGCTTTAGGGTTTAGGGGCTTTCATAAGTAGAATAATAAGGAACCCCCAAAATCGAATTGGTAATTATTTAATTAGGTCCCTCTAGTACTTACTTTGCCTACTGTTTCTGTCTGGGCTTGTGCGCGCGTCAAGCTTGGGATATTCACGGACTGTCCCCTGGATATCTCTGGAGTTCGTGCACTGCACATCGTCTTTTTAAACTCGGTGCTACGACGACGACAACTGCTACGGCTGCTACTTTGCTACTCCTTCTCGTCCGCCTCACCTCCTCCTCCTCCTCCTCCTCCTACCACTACCACTACCACTACCGCTACGGCTACGGCTGCTGCTGCCACTGCTACTCCCACTCCCACTCCGACTACTACTACTACTACTACGACGACTACTACTTACTCCTACTACCAATACTAGACTACTAGGATAACTGCGACAATTGCGACAACTACGACCACTACGACGACGACTACTGCCACTACTACGACTATGAGTACGGCCACGACCACGATGACGACGACAACGACGACCACGACCACAGCCACGACCACGGCCACTGCCTACCACTACCACTACCACGACGACGACTAATTTTTGCAACTGCTCACCCGAGCTACTATAACCCTAAGTACTCTTCTTCCTCATCCTCCTCATCCTGCTGTTGCTCCTACTACTACTACTACTACTACTACTACTACTACTACTACTACTACTACTACTACTACTACCCCTGTGCGACGCCGGTCGCAGAGTTCGTGGATGTACAACATGTTTCCATCGGAGCTGTCGCGGAATGCGCTAGACCATGGACGTCATTAGGTTTTGGACATGGATGCTCTCCAAACCAAAATGCGCTAGACCATGGATGTCATTAGGTTTTGGACATGGATGCTCTCCAAACCAAAATGCGCTAGACCATGGACGTCATTAGGCTTTGGACATGGATGCTCTCCAAACCAAAATGCGCTAGACCATGGACGTCATTAGGTTTTGGACATGGATGCTCTCCAAACCAAAATGCGCTAGACCATGGACGTCATCAGGTTTTGGACATGGATGCTCTCTAAACCAGAATGCGCTAGACCATGGACGTCAATAGGTTTTGGACATGGATGCTCTCCAAACCTCAATGCGCTAGACCATGGACGTCATTAGGTTTTGGACCTGGATGCTCTGTTTTCCAACGATTTGGATGAACATCATGATCAACATTAGGCCACAAAAACCTTCATTCTGATCGCTAGGTTTTGGGCAGGAAAATCGAGACTTCAAAACACAGCAAAAAATCATGAAATTCGCAAGGACAAGTGCTGTAAATACCAGTATTTTGAGGTGCGAACATGATAAAAATACACACGAAACCAGGAACAGTTGCCACTTTCGATAACTGCGGAAAAAAGTGATGTAAAACACAGCATTTCCGACCACAACAAGTCCCAAAAATAAGAGGTCTGGGCGTCGCACCGGGGGGGATGCGGTACTACTACTACTACTACTACTACTACTACTACTACGACTACTACTACTACTACTGCTACTACTACTACTACTGCTACTACTACTACTACTACTACTACTACTAGTACTACTACTACTACTACTACGACGACTACTACTACTACTACTACTACTACTACTGCTACTTCTACTACTGCTACTACTACTACTACTACTATTACTACTACTACTACTACTACTACTACTACTACTACTACTACTACTACTACTATTACTACTACTACTACTACTACTACTACTACTACTACTACTACTACTACTACTACTACTACTACTACTGGTACTACTACTACTACTACTACTACTACTACTACTACTACTACTACTACTACTACTACTACTACTACTACTACTACTACTACTACTACTACTACTACTACTCCTGCTCCTGCTCCTGATCTTACTCCTACTACTACGACATCATGATCACATCACGAACAGCACATGTGATGCAAGCACGGCCGCGTGACCGTCGGATGCTTGCAAGATGTGGCCGAGGCACTCAACAGGAACCTGGACTCCTAACTTCTACAACAGGTCTCAATTCCGAACTCCCTCTCCGAATATCCTCCACACCGGAAGTCGAAAATCTGACCTGGGGCCCCAGCGTGCCGTCTGCCCACCGAGTGTTCAAGCTCACTGGATCAATCTGGAAGTTATCTACCTCAACCACCAAGTCTGGCAGTTCGTCTTAGGGTCATTGGACCTTGACCTTGGCATCGGCTGCTACTGCTCGGAGTGATGATTGAGTAAAATCTCTAGCAGCACCCTAAACCCTAAACCCCTAGAGCCATCGTCGGCTGGACTCGGGCAACTCTGGGGTTCCCACCGTCAGATTCCCAGCGAATCCCTCTGGATCCCGACCTTTGTTTGCTTCGAGATGGACGCGGGTGTAGAGGCTTGCTTGCGTAAATAAAACCACCAGTAAAGCGTGTGTGTGTGTGTGTGTGCCTCATATATATATATATATATGTACATGTGCATGTATATGTATATGTGAATATGTGCTTCTCTAAACAAAACACTGCACGCATGTGCACCAAACGAGCGACCAACTGACACAGACAGAAACCCACAAACAACCATTCGAAACAGACAAAACCACTAAACATGGTTGTCCAAACGCAGGCCCCGCAGCCTCGTCTTCTATATATATATATATATATATTAAATATATATTAAATATTATATATTTAATATATATATTTAATATATATATTTAATATATATATATATATATATATATATATTAAATATATATATATATATATATATATATATTAAATATATATATATATTAAATATATATTAAATATATATTAAATATATATTAAATATATATTAAATACATATTAAATATATATTAAATATATATTAAATATATATTAGATATTTATGTGTATCTATATATATTACATACTTATAAGTAAGTAGTTATGTATGTATGTATGTATGCATGTCATGTATCATTATAGAGGGTTCAGGGCTCAGAGGACGTTGTAACGGGAGTAGAGACAATCCCGAAGCGTGCGAAGTGCCAACTAACGCAAGCTTTTTCGGCGCGGATCCTCGCCTTCAATGTGGAAGGCTGGATGGCTGCTCGGACAAATTGGAGGGCAAGTGGGGCAAGAACTTCTGGTCTTAGGGATTCGAGGGTTTGGGGTCTTGGACATGGACCCGGTTTCTGGCGAACTCTTGTCCTTCTTGCCGCACTTGCCCTCACACTATGCCCGAATCATAAGGATGCGACGAATTCGTTAAAAGAATCCCATGACGAGGCCGTCCGACATGGAGCACTCTGGGAACGCCTCCGGCGCTAGTGCATGAAAGGATAAATGTCAGCAATGGGTTGTCTCTTTGAGACGTCTGACTCGCGGATGCTATCACTACTAGTCGAAATCGGTATGTTAAAACTTGCGGCAGAACGGAAGTTGAATCTGGCATTGATTGACGAACATGTCCGAGTCGCAGTACCCGAATGTAATTAACTGATACAAGATGTGTGTTTGTATTATATGTATACATGTGTATACACATACAGGCATCTTCACATTACATCTGCATATGTATGTATATATATATATATACACACATACATGCGTATACAAGCAAGGATGCATCGGGGTCGCATGTATGCATGCGCGTGCATGAATGAAACCATGTATGCATGCATGTCAGGATGCATGTGCGTGTGCGTGTGCATGTATGTATATAAGATGTATGTATGTACGTATGTATGCATGTATGCATGCAGGCAGGTAGGCAGGAAGTAGGTGACTAGGTAGATAATTAGGCAGGTATGCAGGCTGGCAGCGTGAATGTCTGTATACAAAAACACCATTACATCCGTCTACATTATGCTGCACAGAGCAGCCGAAGAGTAGGATCCAAGGACACTTCCAACCTCAACCGCAAGGGCCGCAGATCAAGATTCCTGGAGAGGGAGGTGGGACTCCCCTTGTGACGCCGGCTCGTTTTGGATCCAGTCCTCCAGGTTGTTGTGCTGTAAGCTTTAGGGCTTTGTGCTCCCAGGCCTGGAGATTCGGGGCGTAATGCAGGGGCCTTAATAAGAATAGGCTTTGGGGGTATATTCTATAGGGGCCTTAATAATTAGAATAGGGTTTTGGGGGTATATTCTACTAAAGACTATAATCACCGCTTATGGGTCGAATCTTGAAAGCCTTCTGCTGGCGAGCCTTGAACTATGAGGGCTGTTTCGGCGATGAAAGTGGCGAGCGTTCAGCCTTCTGGCTTCAGCCTCTACCTTGAGCTTCCTCCACAGAGTCCAGAGACTCCCAAACCCCGGTTTCAAGTCTCTAGGTCTAGATAGGGCCTCCTCCTGGAATCCGTTTCAAGGAATTTCGCATATTCTTCAATTACTCAGGCCAATTGGAAAAATCTGCAGCACGCCTTGTGATCTCCAAGATATGAAACGTGAAATGTAAAGGCTTCGTCCAACAAAGGACCCTACACCTCAAATTCACAACCGTAAACCGATCCGCTGAACTCGAAAGCCCAACACCCTGAAACCTTAAAGCCCCAAACCCCAAAGCCTAAACCGCAAACCACTCAACGAACCCACTTCTAGGATCCTTTAGCAGTAGCATAAGCCCCCCCCCCCACACACACAAAAATCCTGAACGGTGATCCCTAATCCGCAAAAACCCTCAAAAAACCCTAAACCCTAAACCCTCAACCCTGAACCCTAAATCCTATTCCCCATGCCAGAGAACCTCCGCCATCTGATCCAGCTCGGCTCTGGCGTTTACCTGGCAGCGGCGCGCATACCTTGGGGATGGCCTACCGTTTTTTTTTGATAGGGGAGTTTTTATGAGAGGTTTCCCTACTTGTCGGGTATCATGAGGAACTAAAGTTTAACTTTTTGGGTATGTAGGGATTATATAGGGACTATACTACCCAAAAGAGGTTCAAGGCTGCTTGCGGGTTTACATTGTGGCTCTGGGGCTCGGCAATGGTTTTTCTTCAAGGTGCCATTTTCCATCTGCCTTTCAGGCTTCATGATGGGGCTTTTTAGTTCACGGGGAATCAGAAGCTCGCTCTTCCCTTGATGCATGAGTGTCCCTCGCCAAATACCCTAGTCTAATTACAGGAATCTTGATAGTAAGTTTAAAAGCTTTAGAGTCTGTGCGAAACCTACAGAACCTACCTTTTGGCGCTGTTCTGCCAAACGTCGTAGGCTTTGTCGAGTGATGTCGAGTGCTAGCCGGAGGGTTACTAATACTTAAAGGATCATGGGACTTAGTGACTAGGGTTATATTCGGGTAACTATATTTATAGCTACTTATGACTCCAATTAAGGTACTTATGATCTTGTGCTTACTAAGTGACATGGTCCTCCAAGTAGCCCATATAACAAATCTTGGTATTCTAAAAGAGGTAGGGTATGAGCCTCTAGGTAGGGCAAGAGCGGACCAATCATCCAAGTCCCGTGCTTTCCACGGGCTAGAAGACGGGCGACGAAGATGATCACACACCGTAGCAATAGCAGCAACACTGATACAAGTATGACTATGAGTCTAGCGCACCACCAGAAGCAGCTATCACGACACTACCACGAAGAACGTAAGTCATTATCAGAGCGAGACTTAAACGTAGCAGTTCTAAACAGAAGCAACCAGACTAGAAAAGACTGGCCGCAGTTGACGAGGGTTACCATTGTTGCACTTGTAGGGAACTTTACATGGAACCAGTCTCGCGGACTCGTCTAGACGGATCGGGGCCCACGAGTCTGCCTTCTGCGCTTGAAATTGAGCCTAGACCTCCAGCCAAGACATGCACGCTTGTGACTATCTGAAGCTATCCACCTCTGCATCCGGTAATCATGGATGGAGACAGTCTTGGCGCCAGGTGGCTCTATGCAGGCATCTGCATCGAGAATCTTGTTGCAGCGCGAGTCCAGGGTCTGGCACAGCTCGTTCTCTGCTTGCGTCTGCGCAGTCTTCTCCCACATCTGGAGCATGGCGAGTGGCTCGGTGTCGCAGCGGTGGTCGCCGACGGCTGTGGCCGTCCAGGCAGCGAAGAGAATGGCGGATATCATGGGGTTACGATTACCCCGCCCTGGCTAACTGCTTGGCACTGCTTGAAACGTGATCGCCCCGGTAAAAGCAGCGGGAATGTACCATACCAGATAAGAGGAGCATGCTGGGGCACAAACACTCAGAGGCCCAAAAGTACACTGGGGGAGCACAGCAGCTTGGAGGCAACAAAGGAATGGCTTGGCTTGTAAGATGCTTCGAAGCTTTCCGAGGTATCGGAGATCTCAGAATCCGTCGGGGCTTTCTCAAGCCTTGCAGATGAGGCACAGGTCCGTTGAGAGTGAACCAAATATCACATCTTTCGTAATCAGTGTGTACCGTAGCATCTGCATAATCAGCGCCAACAGACCAACAGAGACCTAACTGTTATGCGTGCGACGGTCATGCATTGTCGGCTACGAGCACCGCACCGGTTCACAAACAGTATTCATTGCAGCAACCACTGTAGTTTAGAAGGCTTTTAATCGTGGCGTAGGGGCTACTGCCTGATTGAGGAATGTTGGTCTCTCTCGGTTCGCTTATCATCTAGTAACTAGTATGGACCCATCTAGGATGTTGATTCTTAGAGTGTCTACTTTTTGTGGGACCAGGAACCCTAAGCTAGGGAGCCGCCAGCAACCAGGTGCCATGCAAAGCATGGAGAGCTGCAAGCCCACATGGTATGGCCTGTGGCCTCAGCTGTGGATTTTAAGGTTCAGGGTTGAGAGATCTCAACTTTGTGTGAGACAGGCCTCAGAACAAAAACGAGCAAACAAGGACGGCATGCTATAAAGGTAATTATGTATGTATACAGTATGAAAACATACATACATACATAAATACATATATACATATATATATATATATAGATATATGTACATGCGTACAGCGGGGGCCATAATTGTTCCGACCCCTCTGTTCGACATCCGAGACAGAGTTCCCAGCAGGCTCGCATGTGCGGCCAGGAATTCTTGCGCAAAGCGAGCCTTTGTTGAAAGTTGCTACGTCTTGCAGCATTGGTGTGTATGGGTATTAAGACAAATAGATGGCAACATGTTGGGGCTAGAGGGGTTGCTACTTTTAAGATTTAGACAATGTGCACACCTTGCATATGCGAGAAAAGAGTGTGCAAATCTTGTGCCAGATGCTACGCGAATGGAAGCTTCATACTTCATTGAAGGTCTCGCGTGTGCGCAGTATGAGACACAGCTACAAGGGATTGGATCAGTTTGGACCGCTGGTCATGATTACTTGAGCGGCCGAGCGCCCCACAGCAAATGTAGCCATCAACCAGATCCTCGTTGCCCTGTGGATCTGGGTTTTCTGCAAGCCCCAGTAGTTCACGGGGTGGTATATGCAGGTGTGTGTGTGTGTGAGAGTGCGTTTGCAAGAAAAAGTCAACACTTCCGTGCGGTTCAGGGATGCAACAGATCTCAACCCTGGCTCGGCCGTCAGATGTGTCTGGTTAGGGAGCTTTGTCATCCTTCTACGCAAAGCAACAGCAGATTGACGGGCCTTCGTAGCCTCCGCCCAGATCTTCAGGTCTGAGAACTCGCCCTTGATCTTGATGGCCCAGCCTGACATCCATTCTTGCTGACGGACCTGTGAAGCTCTGCATTTCTCTATGCAACTGACGGCGCTTTGGATCAACCTTTGCTACGTCGCTTATAGTCCGAGGAGCAGAAGAAGAATTGTAGTAGTAGCAGTGGCAGTAGTAGTAGTAGTAGTAGTAGTAGTAGTAGTACTACTACTACAACTGCTACAACTACCACTACCACTACACTACCACTGCGACGAAGACTACTACTACTACTGCTCCTGCTGCTGCTGCTACTACTACTACTACTAAAATAAACATAGTGAATAGTGCTGATAATAACAAGAGTAATACAACAATACTCTTTCAGAAGGCTTGTCGTCGAGATCCGAAGTTCACTGCATGTAACAGCAACAGTGTTCGTAACTCCAGTGAGTAGGATCAAATGGTCGCGCTACTCATAAAGGGCCTGTTAGGAGTAGCGACAAAGTCATCATCACCATCGCCACAGCCCTGCTCGTGTCTACTACAGCATGATCTAGACCAGCCAACCAATACAGGACCCTGAAGTTGTGGCATCCCACACCCGGCATCTATCCCAGCATAGCCCCGTCGGCTCCCGGCGTTGACCGTTGTCGTAGGAAGCTGCAAAGGGTCCTTCATAGATACATACATATATACATATATAGATAGATATGTACATGCATGTACATACATGCACACATATGTTATATAGTTACAAAACATATTTATATATGATTGTGTATATGCATATACATATATATGTATATATGTCGGTTGCATATCATACATGTTTGTTTGTAGCTGATGCCCCGGAGATTTCAATCTGTGTTGACAAAAACGGAAATGGGCCGGGTTTCAGTTCGCAACACTAAGTAACCCTTGCGTGGGGTTGCGGCAAATGTTCCAACCTCCGAGCCGAAAGTTCATGGCCCGCAGATGCTGGTATCTGAGCTTGAGGTGGGGGCTTGGTGCTCAGGAGTTTAGGAGTGAAGGTTGTGTTCGCTAGTTTCGGGTCTCTTGGCAACCCACACTTTGCTGTTATCGTAATGCAACTTCCTTGCCTCGGCAGCTAGCAGCTAGCAGCAAGAGGCGAAATATTGGCAACATCAACATCATCAACAAGTGGAAAGAACAGAAAATGGACGAGTAGTGATGTACACGGGAAGTAGCAGTATCGCTGCGAACCGTCTCGAGCCCCCGCAGCACCCCATGAGCACGAAACCCTAGAACCTTCGCCTAAAACGCCAAGCAGTAGCGGGTTGTTCTCTATACTGGGGTCCTGTTCGGGGCCCGAATTATACATGACGTGCTCTTTTCCGGACCCAAACATCCCAAGCCTAAATCCCAAGCCCCAAAGAAAGCAAGCCGTAGATTCCTGCATCTTCCAGGGCGAGCCGATTTTCTGGCAGAACCTTCAGGGGCAGGACTAGCAGTACTAGCAAGAGTAGTAGTAGTAGTCGTCGTCGTCGCAGTAGCTATCGTAGTAGTTGTCGTAGTAGTAGTCGTCGTAGTAGTAGTAGTAGTAGTAGCAGCAGCAGCAGGAGTAGTAGTAGTAGTAGTAGTAGTAGTAGTAGTAGTAGTAGTAGTAGTAGTAGTAGTAGTAGTAGTAGTAGTAGTAGTAGTAGTAGTAGTAGTGGTAGCGTGCTAGTGTCATTTCTCACCAATCAGTCTGCACAGTGCTCACACTACACGCTAGCAGCTCGCACTGTGGCTTTGCGTTAGTTGCGCTGCAGAGTGTCACGTGTTGACGTGTCGGGGTTTAAGGGTTCCGAGTTGAGGATTTTGGACTGTTGGGAGTTCGAGTGTCAAGGCCCAGGGCGTACGATGAGAGCATACGCCCAGCATTATAAGCACCATAATTGAAACTCTTATCAACCTCATCATGAACTCGCTGGAGTACCTAACAGCCCGTAAGAGCCAAACACCGCTTAAACCTGACGCCATCTTGGCCATAAAAATTTACTTTCCCCTTACAGCCCCTCGTCAAGCCCACATCTGTGTCGCCGGCACCCATCATGTAGCGCTAAACCCCCTGCAAAGCACGTCAAGTTCCGCTGGGCAATTTGTTGCCCATTCAAATCTGGAAATGCTAAGCCCTTATTTCCTCTCTTACACCAACGAACGCGCCAAACTCCCACTTACCCCACGGCGCCCCTGTCTGGGCCTGTCTCCCAAAGGCCGCCAGTCCCAAACCCTGAATTCTGCAATACTGAAACATGTGCCTAAATCCTTATCTCCCAATCTCTTGATCCCTAAGCCCCTTAATAATCCCTAGGATTGCTATTATGTACAAGCCCTACAAAGAACCGAACTCTGGGAAGTCCCCGTAGACCTGGAGTTCCATTATCCGCAAACTCGAGATGCCATCCTCGATCGGACAGCTGTTGTCTTTTAGGTTTGGGGGTAAGGCTTAGAGTAGAATCTGTTGTTGGTTTGGCTTGGGTCAACTTATGTCAAAGTGTTCAGCGGGTTCTGTTTGTGTGGGGCGGGTTGCGGTAGGCTGTCTAGTGAGGGCTTCAAGTGAAGATTACACCGTCCGCTTCTGTTACGGGGTTGTGAATGAAATCAAGCTCCTGATCGTATCCTCTACTGTTTCGAAGTAGTCGTTGCCTTGCTTGCTTCTGCACGGTTGGTGTGGTTTCTATGTCCCATCCGGAGCTTGCTTCCGGAACTAAACCGCGGCTTCGAGGTGATTGGAGTTGGCTTGAGCCCAGGTCCTGGAGCAACCCCAGAACCGCTGCTCCGAAACGGGGAACATCACGGAACCGCCCCCCCCCCCCCCTACTGCATGCCGGCGTCAATGAAGACGACACGTGCCGAGAGGTCTTCGAAGGGGACCTGGGTCCAAACCCTTTCTGGGTGAGCTTGCGGAGTTGGTTCAAGCGTTTGGTTGGCCAAAGAATCCTAAGTTGGGGCTTCCGGCGTCAGAACGGGTTAGAATCCATGACTCCAACATAGTGGCTCATTGTGCGGTGTCAATGGCTGCCCTACACAGAAAAAACCCTAAAATCACCAACACTCTGCGGTGCATCAGCCCGTGTGCTCTCGGCTGCAAGCAGGGATCCGGGAGCTTGGGGGTTTAGGACTCTTTGGGGATTCAGTCGAGTGGAACTGCTGCGTATATTCATATTCAGTTCCTGTGTGGTTCCTTCTTGCTTTGATGTATGGGTTCTTGTCGGTGCAGGAACAGGATGGGACCAACTACGGCCTTGGTTTTATTGCCAAAGCCACGGGCACCGAACCTTGAGTCACGGGGGTTGGGGTTCGTAACAGCGCAAGAAAGTCTGGCGCGCCTGCACCCGCACTCAAAGCATCCACCCGCAGTACCGGGGCTTTGGCATGAAGAGGAACCATGGGCACTGGCTTGCAATAGTCCTGCCCGCGAAGAGCCACGCTGTCTCACAGGCTCGAATCCATGAAGTGTGTTTGCAAGCAGAACATTCTGCTTCGAATGATTGCATG